ACTTCCGGAAGTCTTTGGGGAAATTAAAAGTAGCCCTTCTTAACGTGTAGGAGAGGGTTTATAGCTTTATTCATTATCACAAAAAATTGGAAAAACCCAAGTGCCCTTCAACAACTGAGCTGATAAACCGTGATACAGCCATACAAAATGAAATATTGCTTAGCGATAAAATGGAACAAACTACTAGAATTGGCAACAACATAGATAAATCTTAAATGCAGCAGCTAAGCAAATGAAGCCACACTCAAAAGGCTACATACTGTATGAGTCCTTTTACTGTATCTAAATTATTCTGCAATTTTTAAAAAGCTGACTCACAGCAACCCCTCTGTGTTGAAGCAGAACTGTGCTCAACACAGTGGCTGATATTTTTGGAAGTAAATTGCGAGACATTTCTTTTGAGGTACCTCTAAGTGGACTTGAACCCCCAACCTTTTGGTTCACAGCCATGTGTGTGAACCATTTCTATTACCCAGGAGCTCCTTAAAAGGATTGGGGGGGAAAAAAAAGACTGATTGCCATTGAGTCGATTTCAACTCATAGTGACCCCCTTTGGGTTTCCGAGGCAATAAATCTTTACGGAAGTAGGTTGCCCGGTAAATTGAAGGAAAAGAATTTTTATTGCTAACCAGAAGGCTGGCGGTTCAAACCCACCAGCCACTCCTTGGAAGGAAGATTGGGTGATCTACTTCCGTAGAGACACCACCTTGGGAACCCAAGGAGGGGTCACTATGAATTGGAATTGACTCCATGGCTTTGAGTTTTTTTAAACCACTTGAAGTCTGTGTGGTAACCATTGTGGATCATCTCTTGATTCTAAATATATGAGACCAAACTAAAGTGAACACTGAATGTTAATATGGCTGTTACCTAGTTTGCATACTGGATGTGTGGGAAGAGTGACACTATTAGAAGATTTAGGAATGATCACCATGGGTTCCCCATTTTCTTATGCTTTAACTTCATTATTGTGTACCCAGATGGCTCTCAAGTGGTGGCTTGATTTGGCTTTTAAAAGGTGTTAGGGGATATAAAGAAAATAATTAATAACATCCTTCTTTCCCTCTAATTTTCCTAAAATAACCATTGTTAATAAGTTCATGTTGCCTTCCCTTCTTCCTTTTCTCTGTTCATTTTGAAACACACACACATCTATCCATGGATTCTTTCCTTTCCTTTAACAGAAAAAAAGGGATTATATACTTACTCTGCAACTTGCTGTTTCTGTTGTTCAGTTTACCATTCTATCATTCCTGAATTTCCTCCAGGTTAATACAAATACATCTAACACATTTTAGAAACTATGAGTACTCTTGCATAGCATGATTATATCATAATTTTTCAAGTCCTCTTCTATAGATGAATATTCAAGTTGTTCCAGGTTTTGGCTAAGTAGTACCAGTTTAAAGTTAGAAGGCATTTAGCTAGAAACTGCCTTTGTTGTTGTTAGGGGCTGTCAAGTTGATTTTTAACTTACAGTGACCCCATGTGTTACAGAGTAGAACTGCCCCATCAGGTTTTCTAGACTGTAATGTTTATAGGAGCAGTTGGTCAGATAGCCACTGTGCATTTGAACCACGAACCTTTGGGTGGCAGCCAAGTGCTTAAGCATTGGGCTACCAGGAGCCCCAGAAACTGACTTCAGATACTTTGAAACAATGTTTTTTCCCAACATCACTCAAAGAGTTCATCAGAAGACACCCCCCACACACACAGTCACAGTAATTAAGCTCTGTGAGCCAGCCACTCACTCTGTGCACACTTACAGCTCTGCCCTTCACAATATGGCAGTCAGGAGGTAGGTGGTGGTGCCGTTTACAACAAGAGAAGCAAGGAAAGATACGATTGCTTGTGTAGAGTATTGTTTTATGCAAAAAAAAACAAACCAAACTCACTGCCATCGAGTCATATCTGACTCAAAGCAACCCTTCCTTGGGTTTCCGAGGCAGTATCACTACAGAAGTAGATTGCCCAACCTTTCTTCTGAGGAGTGGCTGGTGGGTTTGAACCACTGGCCTTCTGGTTAGCAGTCAAGTGCCTTAGGCACTATGCCACTGGAGCTCCCATTGTTTCATGCAGTCACTAATTAAACAAATGTCGGCTAAGGATCAGCTTTGTGCCAGGTGCTCTCTCAGGTGCTGAGGATGCAAAGGTGATGGAAGCATAGTCCTTTCCCCCAGGGAGCTCTCTGTGGCATCGACTACAATCCCCCATCTAAGGACCAATATTTTAGTCACCTTCCAGATACACTGTAATCTGTGTGTTCCATGATTTAAAATTTTATGTTATCTCTAGGAGCTATGATAAAAGATAAGTAGATTATTGTTGTTCTTCTTGTTGTTAATATGCCGTGGAGTCGGACTGACTCACAGCAACCCCTCCTTGGGTTTCCGAGACAATATCACTACGGAAGTAGATCACCCAACCTTCCTTCCGAGGAGTGGCTGGTGGGTTTGAACCGCCAGCCTTCTGGTTAGCAGTCAAGTATATTAAGTGGTTTAACAGGGACTGAGTGGGAAGCGTTCAAGAAGAGGAACTCCCGTAGGGTAGGATCAGTGGGAGTCAGAAGTGTGAAAATGGTGACATTTCAGATCTTTAAAGAAAGGGTCAGAGTTGTGATTGGTGGTAGCAGCACTGGATTAGAATGTAGAGGGTTGGAAAGATTAGAGACTGGTGTAGTCGCCCAGGTGAGAGCTAATGAGGGGCTGGAAGTGGAGAAAGACACAGGTAAGAGACATTACAGGAGTGGTAGACAAGACAGGACTAGACAACTACCTGATTAGATGGAGACAAGGGAAGAAGGCAGGCAGGCTGGTGGCAAAGATGACTCAGGTTTTAGCCTTAGTAAGTAGGAGGAGAACATGCCATTAACAGAGTTAAGATCAGAAGTGAGAGAGAGCGCTAGGTTTGAAAATGATGAATTTGGTCCAAAATATGTGGGGATGGAGGTAATGGCAGGATATCTTTAGTGGACAGGTAGTCCAAGCATTTGGGAATTCAGCTGTTAAGCTTAAGTGCAAGGTGGTGACTGGAGGTAATAGATCTGAGTTTGAGTTATTGCTTAAGAGGGCTGCTTTAGGTTGGGGAAGTGGGTCAAATATAAAGGAAGAAGCCCTTAGACAAAACCTTGGGGCCTAATTGTATGTAAAACATAAAGAAAAGGCACAGAAGCAGACAGAAGGAAAAATAGGTAAGAGGAGACCTTTGCTGCTGTGTCACCAAGCCCTGGGAAGAGAATTTTCAGAGGGCTCAATCCACAGTCAGCCAATGAATATTTATTGAACTGAATTGATCACCAAAGGGCAGTGAGGTCAAGAGGAGGCATTGGTATGGGCATTCTTAGCATGAGTCAGTGTCATTCTCCAGCACCATTTAGAAGCCTTGGGACAGGGAAAGAGGATAGTGGTGGGCCTTGGGTGGAGAAGGGAACTGACCATGAGATCCAGGCATGGTGAGGAGGTGCATGAAGCTAGAATGGGAAAGAATTAGGACTGGCTTACTGGCAGCTACAGTGGGGTCATGTGAAGAGCAGGTTCCATGGGTAAGGAGTAGAAGCAGTAGAAATAGGGAAATTGCCGTCAGAAAAGAGCACAATCCAAACCAGCCCACCACCTCTTTTTGTAACTAGAGTTTTATTAGACCACAGCTACATCCAATTATTTTCATATTGTCTGTGGCTGCTGACAGAGTTATCTGGCCCTTCGTGGAACAAGTTTACTGACCCTTGGAAAAGAGTTTCAGAGTTTGAGATGGTGATGGTGGCCTGTTGTTAGGTGCCATCGAGTAGATTTTGACTCCTAGCAACCCCATGTGACAGAGTACAACTGCCTCATAGAGTTTTCTAGGCTGTGATCTTTACAGGAAGGAGCCCTGTTGGTGCAGTGGTTAAGTACTCAGCTGCTAAACAAAAGATCAGTGGTTTTGAACCCAGCTACTCTGCAGGAAAAAGATGTAGCAGTCTGCTTCTAAAGATTACAGCTTTGGAAGTCCTGTGGGGAAATTCTACTCTGTCCTATAGGGTCTCTAAAGTCAGAATCTACTCAGCATCAATGAGTTTGGTTTCTTAGTTTTGAGATCTTTACGGGAGTGGATTACCAAGTCTTTCTCCTGCAGAGGTGCTGCATGGGTTTGAACTGCCAGCCTTTCCATTGGCAACAGAGTGCTTAATTGTTGCACCACCAGGGCTCCAGGTAGTGGCCTAGTAATAGATTGAAAGGAGTGAGTAGCTGAATCAGCCAACTGTGTGGATAAAGGGCATTAGGTTAGAGGTTAAGAACACTATGGCTGGAATAGGAGCTCTGGTAGCATAGTGCCTAAGGCATTTGACTGCTAAACCAGAAGCCTGGGAGTTCAAACCCACCAGCCACTCCCCGGAAGGAAGGTTGGGCAATCTACTTCCATAGTGATACTGCCTCAGAAACCCAAGGAGGGGTCGCTATGAGTCAGATCAACTCGACAGCAGTGTGATAGCTGGAATACCATGAAACCAAGACTGCAAAAATCCCTTAATTGTGGCAGGGCATGTGGGGCAGTAGAAGGCTGAGGAGAGATGCCAAAGAAAGGGACCTTCAGGTCCTTGTAGCTCTCAGAAGAACCAGGTGAAGGGACGTAAGCTGAGGAAATGTTGCTGTATGTTGCCCACCCCTCAAATTTGAGAGCTCCAGGGAAAGGAAAGCAAGGTGTTTACTGAAGGCCCCCACCCACTTTTACCATCCTCCATTGGTGGCACCTGAGAGAGAGTGAGTACTGCTTTATATATGAGAGGATGAGGCACAGGTCACATGTGCCCAGTGTTTCGGTAAATGTGGGGCAACTTGTGAGAATATGGGGTGACTTGGAAAGACATGTGAAAGAGGAGCTATTTGGTGGTAATTGGGGAGCCAGAAGGGGACTGTGCTAGGAGAAAAAAGATCCCAGATTCAAACATATTCTGTAGAAACCCTTTGATTAAGCCTTAGACATGACAAAGACAATCATCCAGGATGAGGGAAACTATCGACATGTGCAAGGTACAGAAACCTGATGGGGTCCACTGAGTCATACTGTGGTGTTTATTATATTTGACAGAGCACAGGAAGTCATCACAAGATCGTGATTGGTTGCAGGCCAGTTGATCGCTGTCTAGGAGGGACTACAAAAGCAGGGAAAGGACCAGCATTAGGATACATACACAGTTGAAGCTTTAACAGAGTTACAGGATTGGTTCTGGGCTTGACCACCTGGCTATGTGGTGGTCAGGGCTACAAGACAATACTAGGATCCCAGCCTTTCATTTAAATTAGATAACATGCAACAGTTTTCAGTAAATCATTAAGGACACACTCAGGCAGCTTCTCTAGTTCTTTGTATAAGCATAATCTGTTTTCAACCACACTCTTCTTGAGGGCAGACACCAAACCAAATGGTATCTGAAACTTAGGTCAAAACTCTAAATGGAGTTAGTGCTCCCACTATGGATTATTAAAAAAAAAACACCACCAAACTCACTGCCATTGAGTCGATTCCAACTCATAGCTACCCTCTTTGGGTTTCTGAGGCAGTAAATCTTTACAGAAGTAGATTGCCTGGTCTTCCTTCCACAGAGTGGCTGCTGGGTTTGAACTGCCAACCTTCTGGTTAGCAGTCAGGTACCTTAGGCACTACACCACCAGAGCTCCTTACTATAGACTATATGGAGCTCTGGTGGTGTAGTGCCTAAGGCATTTGACTGCTAACCAGAAGGCTGGCGGTTAAAACCCACCAGCCACTCCTCGGAAGGAAGATTGGGCAATCCCTCCACAAACCTAGTGCTTCAGAATAATTTAAGCTCCAAAACAGGACTGAGATGGCAAGGAGTAGACAGAGCCTGCCAGCTCCACACATCCATCCAGGTGACCTTGGTGTTTGGGTAAACAAGCTCGAGTACCATATTGAAGAGTGAAGACAATGTGCCTTTTTCATAAAGAAACTCTCCAGCTCTCCTAAAGCCAAATTCTGACCCTTCAGGGATGGCAGTGGTGAGCAGAGGAATCGGTGAAGTACCTTTCTTTGTCACAACCATGGAGGACTGGGGTTTGATTTCATGAAATCAGTTTAAGTATTTTCTATTTTGTCATAGTCATCCAGGTGATAGATTATAGAGACGTGGGCATTGTGCCATACGAGCCTGACTCAGGTCGGAGGGGTGAGCTTGTCCATCCTGTGTTCCCCTAACTCCCTGGGAATAACCAGGCGATCCTGTTTTTGTTTATTTGTTAAAACAAGATAACATTTATTTGTTTGGTTTTCTGACTTTAAAAAGATAAATTGTTGATGAGTGGGAAGGCTCATTCTCACCTCCCTAAAATTTTGTCCAGGGGAGAGGAATAAGTTAGGTTGCTGGAGAGGCTATGCTGTGGTATAAGAACCCCTGTGTCCTACTGGAAGCTCTGTGTTTTGGGGAGGTATTTTCACTGAGTACCTGTGTTTTAGCGTCCATTCTCCCTGCCTTACCTTTACCCTCTGTTCCCCTCTGTTTTCCCTTCGGCAGGCCTCCTAGGCAGTCCTTAGGAGGTAGGCAGGCACCCAGCTCTCTCACTCTTCGCAGCCCTTAGGAGTCGCATGCAGCTCCTCCAGGCAGGGGAGGGAAGAGGCAGACACCCAGGCCCACCACTGCAGGCCTTGTTCACTTTCTTTTCCGTCTCCTTGTTCTGCAGGGGTGTTCCCTCAAAAGATACCCACCCCCTCCAGTTCAAGGCTATGAGCACCGCCAGCTCGGACACCAGCATCCAGGTCCAGGATCTTATCCCAACAGTTTCCAACTCCGGCAAATAGAGTTTCTCAAGGGGCGGCTCCCAGAAGTGCCCCTGACTAAACAGCAGACACAGTCACCACCACTGTTCCTCCCTGGACTCCAGCCAAGGTTTCCAGAACCACGTGCCAGAGACAGGCAACTGGAGATCTGGAATATCCCCAGGGGCGTGCCTGTCAGAAATCAGGGGGTCCAGAGAGGGTTCCAGCATCCTTTGCCATGGATTCGGCCATGGAGGGGTGTTGATCGGCTTGCCTCACGTTTCCAGGAACTGAATATCAACCAAAATCAGGAACAAAGGATCTTAAAGCTCTTGGAGGAGCTTGGGGAAGGGGAGACCACCACAGTGTATGATCTGACTAGAAAACTTGGAACCCCAAAGAAGGAAATTAATCGCATTTTATATTCTCTGGAAAAGAAGGGTAAGCTACATCGAGAGGCAGGAACACCACCCTTGTGGAAAATTGCAGTCTCAGTTCAGGCCGGGGATCAGCACAGCAAAGCTGTAAGACAAGACAATCATAGCCAAGAAGCCCCAAAGTTAGATTCCAGTTTGGAAACTGTGGATAGAAACCCCATATTGGGTTTGGGAGCCAAAGACAGAAATCCCACATCTGACTTGGAAACTGAAGGCAGAAACCCCACATCGGGCTGGGAAGCTGAAGGCAGAAACCCCACATCTGACTTGGAAGCTGAAGGCAGAAACCCCACATCTGACTTGGAAGGTGAAGGCAGAAACCCCACATCTGACTTGGAAACTGAAGTCAGAAACCCCACATCGGGCTTGGAAACTGAAGTCAGAAACCCCACATCTGACTTGGAAACTGAAGTCAGAAACCCCACATTGGGCTTGGAAGGTGAAGGCAGAAACCCCACATCTGACTTGGAAACTG